CTGAAAAAAACAAAGAAAAAATGTTGTATATTGTACCTACTAAAGTGTAGTAACAGTGATTTTGAACAGATCTTTGCAGCAAGTCATAAGTTTATGTTCTCAATGAAAAAAACAATCAAAACAAACATACATACATACATAAAAATGTCAAAAGATAAAAAATCAAATACTTAATATTAAATTAATTAAACGAGCGAAATAAACCAAATTAATTTCTTTGAATTTTAAATTCTTTTATTTTCTTTATTCCACATTTTATAAATAAACAGTTTTTAATAAAAATTTATTTTTTTTGTTTTGGTAAACAGCTATCTGTTTGTTATTTCAGTATTACTACTTCATCGTTTTTTGTGCCAAAATCGATTGAATTTTTTATTTATATGCTGAAATAAACAATTGACGACACTAAACTTTCTTACAATATTCGAAAAAATTGTCGTAAAAGTTGTATAGAGCTTTTGCATAGAAAATACCAACAACATTGTTACGTCTCTTGTAGCAGATGCTGACATACTACGCATACAATGCTACAACATCGATTGTGAATTGAACAAATATGTTTTGATAAGAACGAATATACATAAATAAGACTATGCGACACTATTTTTGGGGTAAAAATTTCTTCGCAAATTGAAAGTATGCCATTAGTGTATTTAAACTCCCCAAGCATTTTTCGCTGCTACCCAACTAAAAACGATCATATATGATTATTTATGAACATGTATGAAAATGTATGAACATTAGGGTTATAATTTTTATCCAATTTTTGGAAATTTTAAACCGGTCCTACCCATTCCATATAGAGCATAAAAATGTACGTCGAAAAGGTATATCACTTTTTCTCGAGCGTTAAAAAAGTTTCCGCGATATTTACTCTAAACAAAATTTTAAATTTTTTAATACAAAACTTTAAATTTTCGTTAGTGTCATTGTTTGAGAAAAATCAAGGATCAAGGATTTTATAATTTTTTAAATTATCTATTGACCTTATGTTTTACAATTTATTTATTTTCATCATTCTATTATATTCCCTTTATTTATGTAGGGTATCAACCGTAGTCGACCTATACTGACAGAGGACAATAACGAACAAGACTTATAGGGACGATGACATTGAAACAAATAGTAGAGTAGAACAATACAGACGAGGGACAGTTTAGTTTTTAGTTTGACATTGAACACTCAAGATCATTTTTGACTGGATGAAACAAATGAATTGAATTTAGTATTAATAAAATAGTTTATAAGTTAAATATAAACAAAAGTGCGTTTTATTTGAAATGTGAGTGAAATCCTATACTTTGGTATCTAGATCGCGATTTTAAGAAGAATAATCCTAATCCGAAATTCCTAGTGAGCCAGAGGAATTAGTTGTGCGGGGTGTTGAAAGTGTTAAAAACTTTTATAATTAAACAAAAAGAAGGTTTTTGTAAACTAAAAACTCAAGATGGTAATTTTGTCTTTTTTAATGAAAACGAGAAAAAACATGGAGGCGAATAAAGGAAAAATTTTATATTGCATCCAATGTTGTCACAACAAAATTTTTTTTCTAACCAAAATTTGAATAAAAAATAACCAAATTAAGAAAAAAGTAAACAAAATTATTTTTATTTGTTTCATATTTAAGTTTGGACGTTAAAATAACAAATTCATTTTCTGAAGTGGAACTTGTAATTTTGTTAAATTTCGTCGCTAAACTAGTATTATGAAGACAGTTATGAGCGTTAAAGTAATTTTCTGTAGGGGATCTTATATGAAACGTATGGTAAATTATGGACCAATTCTCATAAAATCTTACAGAGATATTTTAGTTCGTTTAAAACTTGATTATGTTGAATTTTGTTGCTATATAGCAGTACATTATGAGCTTTAAAGTCATTTTCTGAGGAAACTTTTTATGAGGGATAGAGTCAATTATATACCGATCCTCATAAACTTTGACAAATACATTTCCAATAAAACTTTTTATACCCTTCACCACCATCAGTGGTGATAGAGGGTATATATAAGTTTGTCATTCCGTTTGTAACACCTAGAAATATTCATTTAAAACCCAACAAAGTATATATATTATTGGTCTTTATAAAATTCTGAGTCGATTTAGATATGTCCGTCTGTCTGTCTGTATAAAACACGCTTACGTTAAAACGAAGCAATGGAACTTCTGCTTCTGCTGCGGGCAGTCACCTTGAGTCTTCTACTGTTATGGAGGTCAGGCCAGCCACGACTAAGACGAAACCAAACCAGAGCAAGCATGTGACCACATCTAAACATGTGCCCCATGCCAGCACTGGACCGAACACGATCACCGTCTCGAAGAATTCTAACGTACAGACATCTTCATCAAAGAAGGCCACGTCGGGACCAAAGAGAGGTGATGACCAATGCGGCATGACAAAGTCTGCTAGCACAACACCCAAGGGACTGTCTGCATCTTCCTCTTCTCGAGGTACAGCGACGGTCACCAAAGATCCAGCAAGCAGGCCTAGTATAAAGCGACAAAGGTCAGGTGAAACGCAGGTGTCTGAGGGTAAGCGGTTGAAACCATCAACTAGCTTAACATCAGCACCTGAGCTGATAATACTGAATGTATTATTTTTCCATGTTCAGAAACTCAGTTTCCTGGACGTAATTCCTAAGAATCTTCCAATTTAAGGTTAAGAATGTTATTTCCGGAATAACATCACTTCCAAGATACTTGGATCTAACTTCGACGAATGCCTGACAATGGCAAAGAAAGTGCTCCAGAATTTCACTGTCCTCTCCACATGCTCTACATTCGTCTGAATCCGCACGTCCAATTTTGTATAGATGTGCTCGTAATCCTGTGTGTCCACTCAGAATACGTACCATCATACTAACCTCAGACTTGCTCATTTTGAGAAGATTTCTCGTCTTGCTCTCATCAGGGTCACCCCATAGAATCTTTGTGGTTCTACCCACCTTTTCATTATTCCAAGAGGCCTTATGGGATTCTCTCATCCATATTTTTAATTCAGCTTTTGTTGCGTCGAATGGTTTTGCGTTTGTCAGGTTAACTACATCGAGCTCCCTTCCCTTTAAATCTATTACATTCGCCCTTTCGTTGCCGACTACTCCCGAGTGGCCTGGTACCCATATGCTGTGAACCTTACCTCTGGGAGAGTATTCAGTTAAAGCTTTCTTACAATCCAATACGGTCTTAGATTTAATTCTATCACCTGATATCGCACAAATTGCCTTCTGGCTGTCGGTAAATATATTAAGCCCTGTGGGCGCCATATTTATTCTAATCCAATTTACACATTCCGTTATTGCTCGTACTTCTGTCTGGAAGCTTGTGTTATGATTAGGTAAACGGTGGTATATTTCTGTTTCTGGGTCTTCAATATAGAACCCCAGGCCCACTTTGTCCCCTAATTTAGAGCCATCCGTGTAGCAACGGATTCCTACTGGTATTTGCTCTAATGTTCCGCTTGACCAAGACATTCTAACTGGTATTAGCGTTTCAAAGTTTCCGACATATTCAGTGTCTGGTATGCGATCAGGCACGTCCGATGAATGTGTTTAACCTTCCAATGTGTCCAGTATACATTGATGACGTGTCCTATAACCGTTTTTGGCCAGTTCGCCTAAAGTAAAGAGCCGTTCGGCTGTAAGCGCCGCCTCATATCTTATATATGTTTCAATGGGTGGAATATCTAACAACGTTTCCAGAGCCTTGGTTGAAGTAGTACACATGGCACCACTTATACACAAGCAGCATGTACGCTGAACTCCCTGTAGTAGTTTGATATTACACTTTTTGTCCAAAGCAGTCCACCAGATTATTGAAGCATAAGCTAGAATTGGTCTAATTACACTTTTATAAAGCTAATTTGTCATAGTAGGATTAAGACTCCATTTCATGCCTATGGTTCTCCTACATATCGCCCAGCACCGATGTGCCTTGTTTATCCTATCCTCTATGTGGTGTCTCCATTTTAATTTCCGGTCAAGTATTACACCTAAGTACTTAACTTTGTCTGTCACCGGTATCTTCTTGCCCAGGAAGCAAGGTTCAGTATATGTAGAAATTTTTGTCTTTCTTGTGAAAAGACAAATTTCCGTCTTCGCCGGGTTAACATTTAGGCCTCTCGGTTGAGCCCAGCTCAAGGCCGTATTCAGAGCCTCCTCAGCTCTTCTACACAAGTAATTTGGATCCTTTCCCTTTAAAAGTATTACGACATCGTCTGCATAGCAGACAGGTCTAAGTCCTTTCTCGGTTAGGGTCCTTAGGAGGCTATTAATCGTGGTAATCCAGAGTAAAGGTGACAAAATGCCACCCTGTGGTGTACCGCGAAATACTTTTTTCCTGATAGTTATATCGTACATCTCGCAGCTTATCCATCTGTTCCTTAGCATGTAGTTGATCCAGTTACGGAGCACCCGGTCAACATAAAACTGGTCTAGGGATTGGATAAGGGTATCAGTGTGCACGTTATTGAAAGCGCCTTCGATGTCAATGCATACTGTCAGTGTATACAGTTTGCTATCGAAAGATTCACCTATGTAGTGGACAACTTCATTTAAAGCGGTTTCCACCGATCGTCCCTTTGCATAAGCATGCTGCTTATATTTAAGATCTTTGTATGGTATGCTGCTTTTAACCATGCTATCGACTATCCGTTCCAAGGTTTTAAGTAGGAAGGACGTAAGACTTATCGGTCGATAGGACTTAGGTGTCGCATAGCTAGGTTTCCCTGGTTTGGGTATAAATATTACCCTTGCATCCTGCCATTTAACTGGGGTATATGCCAATTTTAAGCATGCAGTGAATATCTGTGACAGATGTACGGAAACCAGTCCCGCCTCCATCTGCTTTATAGGGAGCAAAGGTCTTGATTGCCCCTTTAACCATGTCAGTTGTAATAACTATTTCCGTGTTACCCTCCCCTTCCTCCAATATCGGTTCATCTATGTTATTCGATATACCGGGTGGGAAATGAGAATCCATTAGGAGTTTCATTGTCTCCTCCATA